AGGGAAACACAGCCGTGCCATAGCAAGGGAGCAGCACCAGGCAGAGCAACTACCCAGCACCAGGACGACCGCTCACAGACCCCACAATTCACATCCACCTCTCGGGCAGGGGGTCCCCACCCCCTCCCCCACCCCAGGTCTGCAGCTGGCTGCTGCAGGTGAAGGGAAGAAGAGGACTGAGAGAAGTGGCAGCCTTCATTCATGCATCGGAGAGGTGGCAGTGGTTATAAAATCCCAGGATGGAGGCAACTGAAAGAGAAGCTGGTTGGTCCTGTTCTTCACACAGCACAGCTTTAGTTCTTGCCCAGATCACAGATCCAGGATGGCTTTACGCAGTTATCCTCACACATCCACCACTCTGCAAGCCAGTCAATACATTTTGACTTGTCGGCCCCCAGCACTTTGTTTGTTTACGGGAGTTGAAAACCAGCTGTCTATTAGTAAATTTGAGGATAATATATTCCCAGTTGACTGGCTTACGTTTTGGGTCAGAGTATTTCCATCTCTCATTCGTTCTGAGCTGCAGAGACAAATGTTTTCTTGTCTTCCAATCACTTCAGTGCAGCCAGCAGATTTAGCAGGCGCATTGTTTTCTACCGGCAACATCCTCAAGAAATGCTCCCTTTCCAGGAGGCTCTGCAGGGTGTCCCACACCGTGTGGCAGCTCTTCTCCCTCCCTGGGCAGTGCTGACCATCCCACCATTCCAGCAGTTGGCACAGCCACCACTGTGAGGGCGTACCCCAGCAAATGACCAGTAGAAACAGGAATGTCTTCTGGATTAGCACGGAGCTTCAGCCTGCCACTGGCTGTACAGTTCAAGAGATGAGCTGGGAGCTCGCCGAAACCTGCAGAGCTGCTGCCATGGACCAGACCGGCCACAGCATGGACACCACCGTATCTGGAGACTTCGAGAAAATATCTCTGCAGTCCCACAGTATCACTGTGCCAGAGCTCGAGGACATGTAATCACTGAGAAAACAGGTCAATCTTTGGGATTAAAGCCTCTTGCAGCATGTTAAGTGATTACCCAGGAGAGGAGCGCAAGATCCAGGTTGTGTCCCCTGCAGGACTGCTGCATCTCATTCCCACATAAGCCCATACCTTCAGATCCTGCAGCAGCCCTCCTGCCCTGGCAAGTGTGCTAACGGGCCCAGCTCAGAGCACCACTGTCCCTAGAAAGTCAACTTAACTTCAGCAAGACCAGTTGACTTTGTAAAGTTTTATCTCCAGCTGGCCTGGGCAAGGAAGCTTCATGAAGGGACTTCTCCCGACTACCGTGCAAAAGCCAGGGGTGTTTCTCTGGTCCTCAACTCAACATGGCACTTAGGTTAACACACAAAGACTGTTCTTCCTTTGGGACTTTGTATAAAAGGAGAGAAGCCACAAGTAAAAGCGGGCAGATCTGCAAAACCTCTCTACAAGAATACAGCCACCCCTACCTCACTCACCCTGCCTGCCCTCTCCTTCCGCAGGCAGCCAGGGACTGAAGTCCCTGCCAGGCGCTTGAGATCAACACAAGTTCAGGGACATCTGCTCTCATCCATAGCACATCTCTCTTCTGGCTACAGCTTCTCAACCATCCTGTAGATAGATTTACAGGTTTGAACATCATCTGTGCTGGTTCAGCTAAAGAGTTTCTTACCCTGGCAGACTGGCAAATGATTAGATCTTAACTTGAAACGTGTCACTAAATTTACTTTTTTTTTTTAAACCATTTCTGTAGCCATAAACCTCTCTTGCTCTTTCTTAGCACCTTCCATCTGAGTTTCTCGGGACATTTCAAAAACATTACTCTGGAAAAAAATATCAGATTCAGTTGCAACGGAACAAAACTCAATTATTTTCTCCACAATTTTCTTGAGCTGCTTCAGCTTTCCTAGTTATAGGAAGAGCACCTAGGAATTTCTTAGGAGTTGACAAAATGTGCTCAATAGCAGATGATGTCTCTGGGACAAGCACGAGGGACAACTACCTCTCCATCACATCTTCTGGGATTGCTAGGCAATTCTGCAGCATCTCAAATTTTAACAAGAGTAGAAGTGACACATTTTAAAATCTAAACATTTAATCTCAATGCTTCTACAAGTGGCAAAGAGAAGGGCTGATACGTGGCCTTATAGCAGACCAAATGCTGCTGAGCTCATGAGGAAGATGCCACTGAAACCAGATGAGAATGTGCCTTTAGTTCTTTACCAACTAATGTCCCTACCTGCTTCTGGAAGTTATATAGCAAAGATAGCTATACAGCTCCAGACAGAAGAGCCTCTGAAAGAAGGTCAAAAGCGAAGGGAAGGAAAAGGAAGAAACCAGTAAGATTTTAATCAGAATACAATACAGCTTTGAAGTTTGGTCTCTCACACATCTTGCCAATGAAGAGAACAAAAAACAAACACAACCCAAAAATTCCTATCTATCTCAACCTTTCAGTAGAGCTCCCTGATTGTTTATAACCTTTGCATTCTGCAAATCTGTGGCCTCATAGGAGCAATCATCCCATCTTCATTCTCCTGTAGAGCAGGACTTAAGATAGCAAGGCCTGAGTGGGACTGAAGTAATTCACAATCCATGCAAAATCCCTAATGCCCTACCTGTCCTCTCCAAAGCTGATGTATTTCCACTACGTTTGAAATGGAGGAGCCCTTTGGCAGAGCAGAGTACCAGATGCAACAATTACAGGTCCTAGTTCAGCTTGGTCACGGACAACGTTGTGGTTCCAGCCAGCTGCTCAGCGCCTCCTTGCAGAGGCAGCGAGGACCATTTCTGACTTGTGTCTTCTGCGGGCTTCTGACACTGTTGAGATGCTTGCTGTTTCTGGTGGCCAGGCCAACAGATGCCCTGTGTTTTGCTCTCCTGGTCTGGCGAATGGAGGTAAGGTTTACCCAAGGCAGGCAAAGAGGCTTCAAGGCCCATGGGCTGCCGATGGAGCACTGCCCATAGCCCAGCGCCAATGCTGGGGCGACATATCATGGGAGTGGCCGCCTGTGTCCTTGGAAGGACGCTGGAAGCACTGCTCCTCTCCTTAGCCGCCCCCGGCTTTGCTCCTGCCACAGCCACCCCTCAGACTTTGCACCTGCACGCAACGGGGCACGGAGGCGTTTTGCACCAGTCTACTGGGAGCTGCAGGCAGGCTGCCGGGTAACTCCATTTTTTGTGCAAGCAAGGGTGAGCACCGAAAGCAGCCCCAGTTATTTGCAGGTGACCTCTTGCAGGGGGGCCAGGCATGCGGGGAGAACGTCCCCAGAGCCCCCCTGCGCCTCGAGTACTCACCCAGAGCT